CAAACAGAAAATAATAACGGTGTTCTACTCCCGAGATTTCTGTTTTTTAACTTTTATTAATCAGTAAACTTCACACAATATATTTAAATACAAACATCTCCCAGAAACACTCGTCCATATATATCTTTACTATACACACAAATATTCACTTCCTTCTCAATATGTACATTATTATATACAAAATGCTTATATACATCAACTGAATCGTAACAAAACATAAATAAAATATATTACATCAATATATTAGATATCTATATATATCTATATATAAACAGGCGTATATATACATTTATATAGATATTTTCAGAAACCGATATGACTTGTGCATATATTTGATGGAAACATACTCTGCAAGACAACAATACAATCTGTGGACGCATTTGGTGATTAGCACCCATGTGTGTGATTATCAATGTGCTATAGACTCATAGAAATATGACAGCATGCAGTGATTGCTGGGAAAGCTAAGTCGTTCTAACATCTGAGGGAGACAAGATGGTTCCTTCCATCAGATAAATCAACAGAATTTCTGCCTAGTTTCTATAAACTACAGAAAAACAAAATATGGCTGAGGACACTAAAAGGGACCTTGCTCTATGAGGGCATCATATTCCATTTCAATGCATGCCAGGGTTTTCTGAGGCAGTTGCCTGGTCCATACAAGGACACAAAAGGCACAGAAATTTGGTAGGGTAGTTATACCTACCAAAAGTTCTGATTATTGGCACCTAGAGGGGCAGAATGCCAAAAGGAGCTAACTTCATGTAATACGGGTTTTGATGAAAGTGTGGGATAAGGGTGAACCTGTGATTTACCCATATGGAATAAAGCAATAGTTTTGCTTATTGACAACCCCTCTGTTGCTTATACTCTCCTTTCTTTTGCTCTCCTGCTGGAGTGAAGTGAAAAAGTCCTATGGAGGATCCAAGTTAATCTGTTCAGAGCTTGCACAGAGCTAAGGACTCTCTTCCCGACCTCATGTACCACATCATGGAAGGGGAGTCGCATTCTCCCCCTATAACCAGAAGCACTGGTTATTCAACAATGTTCATAAGATGAATCAATATATATATATACAGCAATAATGTCAATAGACCATACTGATAAAGTGTGCAGACACTCTTCCAGTATGGTATGAAGCAACCTATCTCGATTAGGGTGCCGTGGCACCCTGGGCTGCCTTCTTACTTCCTCGGGGTTGCCTAATGGGAAACTCTGATGTGAAAGTGGGGGACTCTCATGTGAAACAGGGAGCTCTTATGTGAACGAGGAGGACTCTGATGTGAAAGGAGGGGGTTCTGATGTGAAAGGAGCTTCTGATGTGAAGGGAGCTTCTGAATCTAAGGAGGGACGCCTAGTGTGAGGGGGACTCTTATGTTAAATGAGGGGGCTCCTGATGTGAAGGGGGTTTCTAATGTGAAAGGGGGGTTCTGATGTGAAAAGAGGAGCTCTGATGTGAATAATGGACTCTAATGTAAAGAAGGCTTCTAATGTGAAGGAAGGACTCTGATGTGATAGGGGAACAACACTTTTTGTGTTATTGCATGGGACACCCCCCCTTGAAATCTATACCATAACCTGTTTCAGCTTTTGGTATGGATTTTGGAGGGGCCACATGTAATTTTTTTACATTGAGTTCTTTTACATTTTAGACTTGAGATTATGCCTTGAGATTTTGCATACCTTTTAAAGGGTGCCATGACTGAAAAAAGGTTAGAAAAAGCTGGTCTAAAGTGTGTAGACACTTTACAAGTATTGCCTATTGACATTATTGCTGTATTAAGGGGGTCTCAATATAGTGGGGATCTCTTTTTTTTGGAGTTCTGTCCCCAGATACATTTTTTTAGAAGTGGTTTTGGTAATAAAGTGACATTATATCTTTTAAGGAGGGAATTGGTTGGGACTTTTCACTTTGAAATGATTGCAGCATTGGACATGAACATTAATGTGGCTAATACAGATATTTTCAGGTCTGTTGTAGTCCCTAGCAGTATTTGATTAGTATTATGAATATTTGATTTGTGGCTGTGGACTCTGGAACCTAGAAGGTTGATAGATCTTAGATGAAATTTGGCTTATTCCACAATTTTACAAAGGGTGAAGGGAGCAGCATGGAAGCAAAGGGAAGGTGAGAATAATCAACAGGGGGCAGGAAATGTAACATTGCTGGATCCTACTTAGCTCTGCCGCACCTACTCTGATTGTCACATGCAACTGGGCATGGTAATGTGCATGCCCAGTCATCAAACGTGCTAATTATTGCCAGAGTCTGTTCCCTTTTTCTTGTGGAAAAATAAACAATCCATACAAATATGTGTGCAAGAGTTCAGCTTCGTGCAAGCTGGGTTAAAAAGTCACACACATCTGGTATTGCTGATTAGTATTACTGAAGCCACCTTCTATCTGTCATTAAAAATCGGAAGCCTGGTTGTCCCGTGTCCTGCTGAACTGGCCGAAATTCGAGCCATGGGTGGCCTCATCTGCATCGTCTTTATTAAGATTCAGGTGGAAAAATCTCAGCTGAACAGTGACTGGGTCCTATCAGATGCAACTCTGTTCGGGTATTCAAGCTGCCACAGGTCGCGGCTACTTGAAAACAATAGCTGGCAGAGGTAATTCCTCCATCCATGCTGTTTAGCCAGCATTGGCCAAGAATGGTCACTGCGGACCTTCTCTACTTTATGGTCCACCCTGCCAGCCAAGACTGATAAACACCTGCTCATACATTAGATAGGAGAGTAAAGCAGTCATGCAAGAGGCACACCAAAGAGCGTATGCAGTTTTCATATGGCTGCTTCTATTGTCCCGCATATTAGTGATTTTATATACAGTATATAAGTGCTTGGTACCCTTATGGAAAGATCATATACACTGGTTGTTGCTATCACTGCGAATAACCAAATATGTAGCAGACGGTGCCACCCACTGACGAAAGGAAGCCTTAGCTAGGCCAATTGGCAGGTATATGCCCAGCTTTAGTGAAGTACAAGTACAGTTGTTGGGGTTGCATGCTCTGGCAATTAATTTAATTGGTACCTCAACTTGCTAAATGTATATGTACCTCCTGTTTAAGCCAGGAAAGTTTGCATATTTTTATTCACTACTAAATATGTTAATTATCTGGGTAAAAACAAAATATTCATTTGTATGGGAAATACCAGACATTTCTCAAAGGAAGTTGGTCACATTGACATGTCTGCATTCCAGCCGGGCAAAGCAAGTTCTATAAATACAAAATGCAAAAAGAGTGAGTGCCAAGTCTATCAGGCAGTATAATATGAAAGAAAATGAACAGTTGGATGTGAGAGCTTCTGAAAAGTGTGACAAAACCTGGTAGAGCTTTCTAAGTATTTTACTTTGCTGTTTCATACAGTAGTCGCTGGCATCGGGTTTAACAGAGGCTCATAAGTGTTTGATCGGGCAGATTTTAAGTTCTGTCGGTAAAGATGGAAGATAATTAGCTTCAAAAATGCCATGGGAATAAATACTATCTAGTATCAATACGTATCCAGTTATTTTTTGCTTAGTTGTCTCAACTAATCAAAAGCACCTAGCCAAAGTGATCAGTTTAGTTTTGACTGGCATACTTGGAGTATTCAGAAAAATCCAAGGTTGAAAACTTCACTTTCAGAAATGCAAGATGTGAACGTTGCACAATCTTCTGTTTAGCAGATATGCATATTAACATACAGTACACAATGGGCAATCTCTCTCCAATTAGTGACACAGCATCAAATCCATCATACAAACCTTCCAACACATTCCTCACGCCATACTGAATTACTGTATTAAAGCATAACTCATGTCTCCCATTACTGCCCCTTCAATAATGCAACATTTAGAGCAGATCTAAAAAATGCTCTCCTTCAGTGGAATCCCTAAGGTCTCGTTCACACCTAGGCGTATTGCATATGCGCAACTGTCGTGTTTTTTTACAGCGATTCGCGGTAAAAAAATTGCGCGACCGTCGCGCGTTTCCGAAGGCTACTTGGCTGTATCCCAATGGAAACGCTCAACAAAACGGCCCAAAGTAGTACATGTACCTTTTCAGGCGTGGGCCGTTTTGTAGCGCGTTAGGGACGGGCGGAAATACGCCAAGGTGGGAACGAGACCATTGAATACAATGGGATTTATATTTTTGAGCGTTTTGTAGAGCGTTCGTCGAGCGTAGAACGCGCTACAAAACGTTCAGGAGTGAACGAGGGCTAAACAATTCACAAAGGTAGCATATACTGACTTACTGTACCATAGGTAGCTACATTAGGGTAAAGTCAACCCATTCATAGTATCTTCTATAAACTCTCTTCTTGTAAGTTCCACTCACAAGACTTTGATCGCTTCCTTTTATCCCCTCACATATGGTGTGCTGCCTCTCACTTTCAAGACATTTCAGTTCAGGCAAGAGGTCCCATAAAGCATTGCTGCACAGTTTTAAATTATATGCACGTGGCTGATACAGACAAGCCACGCAGTATTAAGGAAGAGAAGGAGAGTATAGTCATATGGCTTACAGACCACAAAGTAGGATCTTTGATAGGAAATATCTGTGATTAATTCAGTCAGAATCCCAACTGATAATTTCGCAGTCAGAAAAAAGAAGAAGTGGTGAAATCTATTGAAAGTCCAACTATAAAAGTGACCAATTACATTGAAGAGATGTATAAAGTGTTAATTATGCATAATTCTTTCTAAAAACATTATAAAAGATGGAAAAACCATCAAGTACACCACAGCAATTTTAAAAAGGTTCAGAGGTCTCAGCACTTTCCCATGAACACCTTCTACTACAGTCAAACAATTCATGCATCATGCAGCTTATCCACAGCAGCTAAGAATTCTGGTTAAAATCAGAGGTGAACACTCACAGTGTAATCATAAACCTTAAAGTGCACATCATTTACACACAGTGGAGTCAGCCATCTTGTGCGTTCAACCTACATTCAGCAGCACGCAGCCTATAAAATATTAGGAAGCCAGAAAAACCTGTTTTGGCCAAGGTTCAGGCACTTGGCCACTTCAATCAAGGCATATGTTAATTTTATTCATACTACCTAAAAACTCACATCACGAAACACAGAATACTGCAGCATCAAACATTCCCGTGTCAGACTCTTTTAAGACATTTGTGAGAAAAAAAAAAAACTGATTCAGAGTGTAAGCACACTGAATTGTCTACAGAGCAATATCTGTGTCGGGACTGTGATATTCAGCTACCATATTGCTCAAGACATGTAAACCTTTAATGTTCTGCCTCTGAAACTGAAATCTAAAAGATGTCACTCAGTGCGGAGGAGGCATCATCCACGTCAAGGGCCAGGTCCAGAGGTGCCAGAGGTATCCCATCCAGGACGAGTTTGGTCTAGGTACCTGTAAAATTCAGAGTCAAAGTATTAAAATGATATCTATGCTAAATGAGTGCCAGTCATATTCTACAGGAGGCTGCTAAGGAGCAGAGTAGCAAAGGCAAGTAACTGTTTTTTTATCTTGAAGTTCTGGCGTTTTCATGTAGGGGAAATCTTAGGCCACATGCACACATGGTTCCTTTGTATTTGTACGTCACTTTGAAAGTGTTATATATATTTATGGAGGAATTAGGTGTTACCAGCAATGATATTCTAATCTACTGAAGGAAAACGAGCAAAACTACAACACCGAGAAAACTGGAGAAACAAATGCTAAAAAAAGGTGATAAGTTATCCTTTCCAGCTTTCTTTCTGTAGCTCCATCTCTCTTTGCAGGAACTGTATCTGCTATACCATACTTTCTCTCCAACTAATATCCTATAGCTGCCAGTAAAAAAAAAATAATAAGGCTGGGCTTAAATATAAGACCCAAGCAGGTGTTAAATTTCACAGTTCCACTAACTGCCATTCCTGTTTCCAGAGAGGGTCTTAGCAGTCTTGAAAAACACTGGTGTTGGAGCTTAGCCATCAAGTCAGGGAAGGTGGGGTCCCAGTAGCAAAGCAAAATTAAATCAGGTAGAACTAACTCAGAGGTACTAAGATCCACCAACCACCAATACCATGTCCAATGAAACTGCTGCAGTGGCTATTAAAGGCACTTTTACTTGATGTGCTAATCCATTGTGTCAGGGAAAGCAAGGTCCAAGAAACAATGTGACACCAAATTAAAGAAAGGTACAAAAGAGGCATTTCTGATAATGGTAACAGGGGCATCTTATGGTGTCTGAGCTAAAACTGAGTACATTTCAATTTAAAATTGAAGGACAACACACATGAGAAGACAGGGGAGACAACCCATCTACACGAGACAATGTAACACACACAAGATGTAAGGTCTTCATATTCTGGTAGACAGGATGTCACAGACTCTGATGACCTGAGAATCTCTTTTTGTACAGACACAGAAGGGAGCTGGTTTCCACTCCTCTTCACACAGAACAAGACAACAGGTGACATGCACGTGACATACCCGCGAGAAGAGCAGCATGTGGCGGTGAACTGGTGTCACTAAGGGGTGGCAATAGGAAGGTATACAGCTATCTAGCTGAGAAAGAAGACAGACAAAGGTTCGGAGTCAGCCCTGGAGGTTGCAAGGATTAATTTGCTAAATGCTTCCTATATCCCCAGATTTACATGGGCTTCCCTGTTAAACTACATATCTGTCCACCCAACCCATTCAACAATCCCAAAATCAGATATAGTTTGACATTTCAAAAATATCCTCTACCAAAATCATGTATGACTCCATTATTGGGTTTATTTTAAAACATAAAGCAAATAGCAGAGATGTGAAGTAATCCATGTCAACCAACCACAATTGGTAGAATGTTACATAATAGAACCAACCATGGGAAAATGTTGTCATGATGGGCTACAAATGACAGCATTGGGAGATACGTTACTACACCAGGTTGGAAATGTGATTTTCTCTTCTTTTACAATGTATCTGAATATAGAATAGAGATAGTCTAATGTTGACCAGTACTGCCTCACAGACAGTAATGACTATAACTATGCAATGTGCTTTAAATAATGGATGTGGGTGTCAAGTGAACAGCAAATAGTTTAGAGGTCTGTCAGGTAGCCACTAATATGGCCAGCTATAAGCAAGCCATATCACAATGGAAACTATAGAGACTGGACTAAAGTTTCAAGCCTGGAAATTGATCACTCTTAAGAACAATTGACCACAGGCATCTACTAGGACTGCTAGGATCCACAGACCTCCATCTTAGGTATATATGCAACTTTACTGTAGACAGGTTTATAAAGACAATATCTGCTTGGTTGCTACACATTAATGTATACTAGTGCTCCTCTTCTTAAAGAAGCCCAAATGAATGTCTTATATGGAGCTGACAAATACATGTAAACTCCAGTATACAATTAGTCCAATCTAGGAGTCAACGTACAGTATGTTTTAAAGGGGTTAGTAAATGTGCTTATATTGTAACAACACAAAAGACTCTAAATAAATGAGGTACATTGACCTGCTGCCTCCTAAGGTTTGTCCAATCGTTGGTCTTATGCATCGAAAAAATAAACTTCAAGGTCGTCAGTCTACTGGTAACCAAATTCAGCTTCTACCTTCCGTTTAAGATTAAACTGTAAACCCCAATGTTTTTTTAACTCCAACCATAGTATATCACTTCTTTCCTAGCACAAAGCTTTGCATTTGGTCCCCTTTTGAAATGTTCTACCCTAGACACACTGTCACGCTTTCAAGTTCCAATACAACAGCCTTGAGCCCCATTCTATTCCCTAGAGAAATCTCACTTGTCTAATCCTAGAGGTAGGTTCAGAGTTCTGGTTGCAGGTTTCACATCTTCGGGGAAGGAAAACTTTTTCTGAAAAAGGGTGGAGGAGACACATCAAAGAAACTCTGTTAATGGAACAGAGAAGATGCTAGTGATATCAAGAGAAGCAAAGAGACAGATATAGACAGTAGAAAGTAGAGAAAGCAGAATGGACAAAGGTGGACAGATAAGGCATAGAAAAGGACAATTTGCAGTGCAGCAGTGATAGAGCTTTATGCATTAAGTATGAAACAAGTGCTTCATCTGCAGAGCCAATGTTTGCTCAGTAAAGAAATCAATGATACATGGCATAAACAAAACTGAATGGACCACAGGTGAAATTCTTGTTTCATTTTTTCAGTGTATATTCTTCTGTAGGGACATGGAGACCTCTCTCACCTCTCTCTTCGTCCTCTTCTACCTCTCTGTCTCTTAGTTGCTGCTCTAATGAGCGTATTTTACTCTGAAGTTCAGAGTTCAGCTGGTCAGCTTCATAAAGACGACTGTGGGGAGAAATATAGGTATACTTTATATATTTTTTAACTGAAATTAACCAATTACATAACTCTTTGCCCAGGAAGAACCATCAATCCAATGGTCCTGCAGACTCACACATACTGCATCAACCACTCATACAGTGAGCTGGGTGGAATCAGACCTCGGTGCTATAAGGCAGCAAGACTACCTACTGATTCAGTATGATAGTGGAAGGAAAAGAATAACCATATATAAAATGCTTAGTCTTTAGACATTCAGCAAGCCCTGGGCCATCAGCTGAGCAAACATCTTATATATTAAAGATCTAAAACTATTCTGTAAAAATGTCAGCCATATGGTCTACTGTAGGTTAGGTGCTACTAACCAATTTTGTATTAATTTCTTCATGGAGGAAGGACAATGGAGACAGGGAACCAGTCACAATTTGGCTTATGCCAGAATCTGAATCTTCAGTCTAGCCTATAAAAGATTTTACATATTAACCTTTTTTTTAGCCTTAACTGTCTGACAATGGAATTATGGAGCTAAAACTTAGAAGAGTGAGTCCTTTAACTGCCTGCACCTATGCTGATAACACGCTGTCTTACAGCCACTATGTTATTATAACATTATTGAATACAAGCCCTATAATTTTGAATTTCCTTTTAGCTAGAGGACTCTGTATACGATACTGTTATACACACTCAGGAGACAGAGAGGAGGAATTTATCAAAACTAGAACTGACAAAATCTGGAGCAGTTGTCCATGGCAACTTATCAGTGTTTATCTTTCATTTTCAAAGCTTAACTGAACAAACTGAAGAGAGAAGCTAATTGGTTGTTATGGACAACTGCTCCAGTTTTGATAAATTCCCCCCTCAGTGTCTTATCTGCTTGTTTACACTTGTAAATAAAACACCCACTCTCCATCCTGACTCCTCCGCCTGTCACAGGAAGCCGAGCAGGGTGGTGTGGGAGGAGAACGTAGCCTCCTGTGACAACTGACAGCTCTCTCCTCCCCGCACCGCCCCACTTAGCCTCCTGAAAGCTTCTCTTCTCCCTGCTGGGTGCCGGTCAGCTTCTTTGCCCCCTCGGATCCCCACTGCCTCTGCAGACACAGGAAGGATAGAAGCTAGGGATGCACCGCATTTTCTGCCGTTTTGGTACTATCGGCATTTTGCTCAAAGTGCAATTTTCCGCCAAAATGTTCCGGCTGAAATTTCGGTGCATCCCTAGTAGATTTAGATGCACATTGCATAAGTGACTAACAAATGAAAGTCTAACTTCAGGTAACACTTTTAGTCAGTTACATAAACAGTTATTTTTTACTTTTTGGAATAAAGGTTTTAACTATATGCATACAAGCTGACTATTGCAAGCACCGGTGTAAGTGTTAAATGGTTTGTCTTCACCCCCTCACTGCTGCTTCTGCTGGACAGCTTGGTCTTTAAAGGAGGCTGAAAAATGACAGACCTACTGGCTGGATCAACAGATAATAAAACTATGTTACAAGGAAAACTTAGAAAAACAAAGACTGCTGTGTTAATGGTAGTGACCGACTGCATCATACAAGTCATTTTTTATTTTGCCTATAGTTCTACTTTAAGCTAAATGAGGGGAAACATATACTGTATCCTTTTCACATTTATGATAATTTAAGGTTGAAGATTCTTGCATAAGTCCAATTGTGACTGATTCATCTTAAGAAATGATTGGTAGCTATATAGCTACATAGCTAGGACGGATAATAAGGGAACTGCAAAATACAGAACACCGTGTCTATGTCCGTATTTCCATGCCTCACTTTTCCAGAATGTCAGACAGTTCTGCTGTAAAATATACAGACTTAAAGTGTCACATGAGGGCTGGGTAATACTGGGGGGTATAATATGGATGTGGAGCATAGCTATTTTTGAACCACCTAATGGACAAGCTGCACATGCATTCTATAAAAATGTAGAAATGTCACCTGGCCAGGCACTGATTGGCTGTTTGAAGAAGGTTGATTTCAGTGGTCAAAGCCTCACGAGCATCAATCTCACTTTGCAGAGCATTACGCAGATCAGACAGTAGTGAGGGGTCCAGATGAGAGTCCTAGAATTATGGATTATTATTAGGGATGTCCGTATTAATAACATAACACTGCACAAGAGCAGTAAACCCTAACCAGATGACATGTAATTTGCTAAAGCACTGTGTATCTTAACATTTTTAAAAGTAAAATACTTATTTTTCACTTTTTAGCTTTGTTGCATCTCAGTACTGCTGATCGCCTGCATACTCTCTGCAGCCATGATTTATCTATATGCACTCCAGCAATTAGCTGCATGGCATTTCTCAGGGTGGGTTTCCTGATAGAGATAACAGTGGACCATGTCTACATAATGTGCATAGAACTGGGTGGTACATTATATGTGAATGAACTGTCTCTCAGTCTTGTCCCTCCAGTTTGTCCCTTAACTCCCCAATTCAAGTAAAAAAAGCTGACTAAAAAATCATATGTATCATCTTGATCGCAAGAAACTTAAAAAGGTAATTTTTTTTAAATTACTTTTAGGCATACTGTGTGAATGAGAACACACAACAACCATATAGAGAAGGTTTCCTAAGGAAGCTTAAGTGCGGACACTGTCCTTCCTTCTGGCGAGTGGCTACTATTGTTCCCCATGGTCCCTGTGTGTGTTGTAAAGTAGTCACCGCTCCAAGATCACTCCCTTGATGGACTACAATATCAATACAAATTAGTAAACTAAACATGACATTGTAGTCCATCACGGGAGTGAGCTTGGAGTGGTGACTACTTTTACAACACACAAAGGGACCATGGGGAACAAAAGTAGCCACCCTCCAGAGGGAAGGACAGTGTCAGCATGAATTCAGAGATGATTTGAGGATCTACAGCCAAGTGATACACAAATAGGCTTTTGTTAAGAGTTAAGGTACTTGAATGCATTTTTAAGATTTATGTCCTGAGTTTAGTGTCACTAAGCTTTCCTATCCACCTTGTTTTTCCCCAGGGAGGAGGAATGAAAAGCCTGTGGAATAAACATCACCATCCAAGGCTCTATTAGGCACAATATAAAGTCTGAAACTGGAAAAGCTGCATTGTTACTACATTTTGCTGAGCAAAATGATGGAGCAGCAGATGTTACAGGACTTCTCAAAGAAACAGCATTTTACCTGCATGGTGGACCATATTTCAGTAATCGTATTCCATATACAGAAAAACATAAGTTCTAGCACCAGCCAGCTACAGAGAAAACTATTTTCTCTGCAAGTCAGTAGACAGAATTCTCTCTAACTCATTAAGTTGGAAGTACTGAGCAGGAAGTGGAGCATATACTGTATATGTATATTAGTGTTTAGCACTATTGCCCTGTAGCAGTGGTGTTCTTAGTTTGATACTGTCTGCATGGTTTTATATGTTTTGCCTGGGCTTATGTGGGCTCCCTCCCACACTTCAAAGATGGTAGGTTACCGTATTTTTCCGTCTATAAGACGCCCCCATGTATAGGACGCCGCCCCACTTTTCTTACCCAAAATTCAGAAATCAATTAATTTCCATGCTCTTTTGCATAACTGATTACATCCAGTTTAAATTTTGCAGAGTAAAACAGCCGCTTACTGGTACCGGTATTTAAATTTTTATGGGCTCCCTGTTGCATCTGGGCACTGGCTACACGCTCCCTGCAGCATCAGCTGACGTCAGGTACATAAGGCTCATGATTGGAGGAAACCTGTTAGCTTGTCTCTGCAATCGGAAGTTTCACTCGTGAGGCTAGTTTGCAGAGGTATCGGCAGTTTCGCAACCGCGGTTCTCCTTTCGGCCCCCTGTGTATAAGACGCCCCTCCATTTTTAGGTAAATATTTTTAAGAAAAAGTATAGTCTTATACACAGAAAAATACAGTAATTTGGCTCCTGTCTAAGCCCTCGTTCACATCACTGCGATGCAACATCGCTGTTAAGGTTGGGCAGTCCATTCATTTGAACAGGCTGCCTACCACATTTAAAGAACTGCATGCACCTTTTGCGTTGGGGTGCCATTAAGAAATAATGGCAATGCAGCACACCTAACAGTTACACATGCGATCTCACGCGCCCCTGCATCGCAGAGATGTGAACGAGGGCTAATTTGGACCTAGTGTGTATATGTATGTATGTGAGATAGAGATAAGATTGTAAGCTGTTTGATGGCAGGGACTGATGTGAATGTACAGTATGTAAAGTGCGGTGTAAATTGCTGACACAATATAAATACCTGTTATAATAAAAATACATTTTAAGTATACTTTAACATATATATTTATTACATATTTTAATATAACAGATCGTGAAATTACTACTCACCAAGTCGTCTCTATGGCTCATTTTGTGATGGTCTGATGTTGATTCTGATTTACATTCACAGATGTTTTTCATGTTTCCCCAAACGTGTTCCCTGCCGTCCTCCCTAGAAATAACAGATGTAATATGTATCCAACTTCACACTTCTATTTTTACTGGCATGCATCAATATGTGCTGGGATCTTCTCATAAACTTCTATATTAAAGTAGCTGTGATCACCTGAATGTATACGAGTAGCCAACAAATGGGAGGTTGACTCCCAGAGGGGAGCTGTCCCCAACATCTGAGATTGTCTCCTGAAAAAAACAAACAAATAAGGGTCGATTTACTAAAGGCTGTTCGCTATGTAAGAGCATTTTCCTTTATCTTAGTGAATGTGGTGAGAATTCACTTCGTAGAGAATACCCAATCATGTGCAAGGGGAAAAACAAATTGTATTTTGAACATGATTGGATGAAGGAAGTCAGGAGAGCTTCACTTCATTCTCTTGCAAAGTTAACAGCTTATTTGCTTTTAGTTAAAGTGTATGTTATAACCCTAACTTTGAAAAGTTGGCCGGAATACCTCGTTATTCTGCCAGTTCCCTCAGGAAACAACCACTGTAACTGACCACGCTAGACACAAAAGCAGATCCATCCTAACGTGGCCAGTTTGGGTCTCTGCTACCAACATGGGAGACACAGCGTGTCTGCAGTCCCATAGTCATAATACAGCTGCCACACCCCTCTCCAGCCCTCCATAGTGTTACAGTGGCTTCTGGCGGGGATTAGCAAGGGATGTCAATCATTCATGTATCTCCACCTACATCCTAAGTGGACTTTCTATGAGGGTAAAGGTCGTCTCTTGGTTCTGTGACATCAGCAGAAGCTGAGTATCTTTTGCATTCTCTGTTCCAAGCCCAGCGAGCTGCAGAAGATGAGTAGGACTGAGCAGTCACGTGACCGCTGATTTAAATCGTAAAAAAAGTAAATAGATTTTTAAAGGTATTTAACTACAACATTAGTTTCTTTATTTCCAGAGGATATTTTCTTTTTATTCATTACCTTTACATATTAATCAACACTATAGTGCCATTCTAAATATGTTATAAATAAACTACACTTGGTTTCTGTAACTTAACCCAGTGGTGGATTATAAAAAGGGCAGGACTGGTGGCTGCCCAGGACTACAGAGGGGATCATGGGGATGCTAAAAAAAAAAACCTCTGCAATTTAATGCTTTTCCTAATAAGTCAATTTCTGCTCTGCAAGTTTTTCGACTTTTTTTATTAAGAGGGAATCCAAAATGGTAGCCTTTGTATTGCTCTAATTAAAGGTTTCCTTTAAGATCATCGAACAATCATATGCATGCACCCTGTACCTGGAAGCATTGTTTTAATACAATCCTCTTGAGTTTACCATTGTAAAAGATCCATTTCAAAATTCAAACAACGTGTTCCAGTTCCTGCTAAAATGTTCCACAAACCATGTCAGATACAAAACACAAATGTCTGTTTACAATGGCCTTTATGCATGATCTCATTCAACTAGAGGGGGGCCCATGAACTGAAAACAGGCCAAGACCCAGGGTACAATGAATCCAACTATGGCCATTGCAGTAATAACATGAAGAAGAATGAAAAAGGTTAATTAGTCTGTTCCATGGTTTTAAAGCAGCAGATGGCAGTTGCTGCGTGTTAAAGTACCTACGGACCACTGGTGGTGAACTGACAGCTCACGGCAGCATGCAGCCTGTTTGTCAATCATTACTCTGCAGCCCCCAAGGTAAAAAAATGTATACCCACATTTTAACATATAACATTTTATTTCCATAGCTACCAGTTTGAAAAAGTAGCACACTTTGCTTTTAAGGCACTCAAAGGCATTTGGGATGCCCATCATAGCTATATATATA